TAGTGAATCCTCTCGGGGTAAACCCCATCAATCACCCACTAAGCAGCCTGTTTGTTGTGCTGAGATGAAGTCTGCGGCTCCCTGTGGCTCCGACTTTGCTGAAGAGAGGGCTGAAACATGTGCTTATTCTGCCTATGGCGATTTCACACGCCCTCTGATGCCGTCACTGGATAATGTGGACGATGATGCCACTTATTTTGGGAGGCCCGATCTCCTCAGAGACAGAAGGAATGAGGCAACAGCCTCTCGTCTGATAAATGCTGGTGAGTCCTCTCGGGGTAAAACCCATCAATCACCCACTAAGCAGCCTGTTTATTGTGCTGAGAGGAAGTCTGCGGCTCCCTGTGGCTCCAACTCTGCTGAAGAGAGGGCTGAAACATGTGCTTATTCTGCCTATGGCGATTTCACACGCCCTCTGATGCCGTTACTGGATAATGTGGATGACGATGCCACTAATTTTGGGAGGCCCGATCTCCTCAGATACAGAAGGAATGAGGCAACAGCCTCTCATCTGATAAATGCTAGTGAGTCCTCTCGGGGTAAACCCCATCAATCACCCACTAAGCAGCCTGTTTATTGTGCTGAGAGGAAGTCTGCGGCTCCCTGTGGCTCCGACTCTGGTGAAGAGAGGGCTGAAACATGTGCTTATTCTGCCTATGGTGATTTCACGCGCCCTCTGATGCCGTCGCTGGATAATGTGGATGGCGATGCCACTAATTTTGGGAGGCCCGATCTCCTCAGAGACAGAAGGAATGAGGCAACAGCCTCTCATATGATAAATGCTAGTGAGTCCTCTCGGGGTAAACCTCATCAATCACCCACTAAGCAGCCTGTTTATTGTGCTGAGATGAAGTCTGCAGCTCCCTGTGAAGAGAGGGCTGAAACATCTGCTTATTCTGCCTATGGTGATTTCACACGCCCTCTGATATCTTCACTGGATGATGTGGATGGTGATGTCACTAATCTTGGGAGGCCCGATCTCCTCAGAGACAGAAGGAATGAGGCAAAATCCTCCCAAAGCACTGTTGCAAGTGAGTCCTCTGGGGGCGATCGTCATCTATTCTCCACTAGGCACCCTGCTAATTGTGCTGAGAAGAAGTCTGCCACTCCCCGTACCCCTGAATCTGCTGAAGATAGGGCTGGAACACGCACTTATTCTGGCTATGATGATTTCACTCAAGGGCGGGTACCTTTGCTGGATGCTGTTAATGCTGGTCACACTGGTTGTGGGAGGCCCGATGTTGTCAGAGACGGGAGGAATGGGGCACAAGCCTGTCAAAGCACTAGTGCAAGTGAGTCCTTCAGAGGTGATCATCGTCCATCGTCCACGGGCCAGCCTGTTTATTGTACTGAGAAGAAGTCTGACGCTCCCTGTGCGTCTGACTGTGAAGATAGGACTGAAACACACGCTTATTCTGGCAATCATGATTTCACTCGAGGTCTGTTACCTTCACTGGATGCTGTTGATGCTGGCCTAACAAATGTTGTGTACTCTGACTTTGTCAGAGACAGCGAACGCAGTGAACACGGATATGCAAAGCCTTTGCATGAGGAGTCATCACGACACGCCTGCGAGGAGTTGGTGGAATGCTCCAGAAGACCCAACAGTAGCAGCAATGCTGATCTGGCAAAGGGAGCTTTGTTGCAAGTGTCTCATGGGGGAAACACAGCAGAGAATCCTTCCTCATATTCTGTCGGAAAGCAGGACTTTTCCACAATGACCGCTCATGTCAGAGGCCAGACTGTAAATGGTACAGTAGCAAACAGTTGTACCCCAGAGGAGCAGTCTAGAGTTCGTAATGAAGGGTTGTCTGCATTTCTTAGCCGTTTGGATGGCACGGGTGCCGTCATGCGGGAGAGTAATAGCACAACCAAGTTGACAGGTGGAGCTCTGCCATCATCGGATCGTGATGAAACTTCAAGCTCCCCTGAAAAGAAAAACGCTGCTTCGGACAAAGCTTTCAGCTTTTCAGATGATCGTGGTCTTGGTCATGAAACGTCATCTGCATTTGTTGACCGGTTGGATGGAACGAGTCTTGCCAAGTGGGGTACTGATAGTGCTATCAACCTGACCGGAAGAGCTTTGCTGTCGCTGGGAGGTGATGAATATTTGAGATCCCCGGAAAGGGAAAACGCTGCTTCTTACCACACTTCTGGGTTTTCTGATGGTGGTGGCTTCACAATGGCTTTCTCGCCTTCTTTGGATGGCGTTCTCGCAGATTACAATGCCAGATGTACTGGTTTGGTCAGTGAAGGAGCAAAAGCCTCTGTGCATGATCCTGGAGTATCACCGGAGTCCTTGAGACATCTTCCTGTGAGTATATTGACGTGACATTTATTGATGCATAAGGAAGAAGTTTGGAGAGCTGAACTAGACAAAATGGAGAAGAAAGCAAGAAAGTTCAATCAACACATACAGGATGACCTTTTTTTTTTCCTTCAAGAAAAACTGCAGACTGTCTTCTCCTCATTGAGGGACAGCTGCATTTACTATTCTAATTTCTTCTCTCATCATTTTTTAACCTCACACTACCTAATATACACTAGTCCAGGGAGACACTCCTAATGGTTATGGGTCTACCAGACACGACCTACAGGGCAGCTGCCAACTCTACTCTATGTGGAGAGCAGTATCCTAGCTCCTAACACCTGGCGCCGGCTGGGAAGTGCCTAAATTGCTTCCACAACCAGCCAGGAGGCCCAAGCTAACTATCTCTGCTGGTGAACCCGAAGCATACCCCAGGAGGCCGCGGTGGTTCGAAAGGACGACGTTGGGTATCGAACCCACGACCTCCTGAGTGTCACTTAGGTGCTCAACCAACTGAGCTAGCCCGCTTGGGCTATTGCCCATTCGTCTGCAAAAAAGACGATCATAGTCAGTAAGCCAAAAAGAGGAAAAGCAACTAAGGAGAGTGGAATTATACAATCCAGGCTGCAGAGGGAAAACGGAGAACAAATTGTATTCTCAATCCTTCTCTGTCCAGGCGCACGAGAGAGAGACAGCGAACACAGTGAAAACGGATATGCAAAGCCTTTGCACGAGGAGTCATCACGGCACGCCTGCGAGGAGTTGGTGGAATGCTTCAGAAGACCCAACAGTTGCAGAAATGCTGATCTGGCAAAGGTGGAATGCAAAGCCTTTGTGCACGCGCACGCGCGCGCGCGCGCGCGCGCGCGCGCGCGAGAGAGAGAGAGAGAGAGAGAGAGAGAGAGAGAGAGAGAGAGAGAGAGAGAGAGAGNGAGAGAGAGAGAGAGAGAGAGAGAGAGAGAGAGAGAGAGAGAGAGAGAGAGAGAGAGAGAGAGAGAGAGAGAGAGAGTCAGCGATTCTAAGTAAACTGCTGTGGGTTTCAGGAGGTGCTTAGCAATTGTAGTCTTATATACTAAGCACCACCATCATCATCATCATCATTATCATCATCATCGGAATTACTATCTTACACTTTTCTAAGCATCACTAGAAGTCCATCATCATTAGCATCACCATCATCATCGTATGAGGGACGCTGGGCCCGGTTCTCAGCATGATTCGGTTCGGTTACTCCGGGTAGACTGTGAGGACCCCGGCCTTAATCTTCATTTTGCAATAGTAAAATCCCCAGCTTCTCATGATGAAACGTGCACACCTCTGGACGAGTGAAGACCTCAAGTAGACATGGGAATAGTAACACCATCATTGCTGGAACGTGCATTGAGCTTTGCTCAATTAGAGACATGGGAATAGTGACACCATCTTTGCTTGAAGTGAAGTAACTTTGGATTCTCCTAGTCAGGACCTGCTACTTTTTGTTCTTCTGAAGGGGGTAGTTTTGCTTCGTTCCACGCTGAATAGAATGATGTGACAATTGCTGTGGTCCAACCTATGTATGTTCGTGCTGCTTTGCAGAGTACTGGATTGGCCACGCTGGGAGACCAGGAAGATGACCCTCCTGGTTGTTGTGCAAGGAACACTCTACGAAGATCGGATGACCCTCAGGGCGGTCCTTTGGACTCCAGGACGTTAGACTGTTCTCAGGCAGGAAACAACCAGAAATGGAAAAATGGGGATATCGCTGAACCGTCAGGGACTGTGTCATCAGAGCAAGGCAAAGTGGCTCAAAGTGATGTTGAGGGGCTCAACATTGGTGTTGTCTCTTCTCAAGCAGAGGAAAACATGTCTGATTCCCAGCCTAAACCAGAAGGTGATACTGTCAGTTCTGTGCCGTTATCGATTGATGCTGTTGGTCCGAGCACCACGGGTATTTGTGCAGAATCGGCACAAGAGCCCAGACCCGCTACGGGCGGCGCAGGTGGAAGCAACAGTGTCAATCCCCTGCTGGGCCTGAGCATGCCGAGATCTCTGTCAGGAGTCCCATCACAACTGCAGTCTCATGGGGGTGCCACCCATGCGCTGACGATGACGAATGAGACAAGTGAAGAGCCAGATGCATTACCACAGAACATTACTCCAGAGTCTGCTCGAGAAGTCGAGAGTGCCGCAGACCTGTCATCTGATCGGGAGGTGGAATTCACAACAGAGAACAATCTGGGGAAATCAGTGCAGGAATCGTGCAGAGGCAACCACGCAGATGCTGCTGCAGCAAATTATGTTTCTTTTGATGTAATGGGGAAGAGTACGTTGCTGGGATCATCAGAAGCTGCTGGGATCATGAGAAGTGTTCTGGAGTGCGGAGATGACTACAGGAGAACTACTCCTGCAGGGTCATCAAAGTGCTCCGGAGGGCTTGGTGATGTCCAAAGGTTGGAGAATGGGAGCGGTGGACACTCTTTTCTGGAAGCTGGGCATGTGAAAGACATTTCACAGCAGGAGACAATATGCGGTAATGTCTTGTCTCCTACTGTAGCTACAGATTCTGCAGTGAGACAAGCTCCTAGAGAATCAGCAAGGGACTCAGCCAGCGACCCAGTGGAGCTCTTGAGAGGCCAGGGAGATGATGTCACAGCAATGTCAATGCACGGAGGAGGAAATCTTCATGTGCAGTATGGCAGTGTATACTCAGAGCAGAAGACAGCAGACCCTGGTACACACAGGGATACGGGTTCAACGCCATTGTCTGGTGAAGTACAGATGTTGCAGGCCGCCATGTCGGCGTTGAAGAGCGGAAGTCTGAGCAGGAAGAGGCCCGTTGCAAGTTTTGGTGAAGTTCGTGTAGAAAATCATGAGAATGCACCAAAAGTTTCAATACCTGAGGTAACGATGTAAATCACTGCTTACAATCCTTTTTGGTGCTCCTTGCAGTCTTTCGTGAGCTTTGTGAATGCACTTGCTTGAATGCCTCCACAGTTTACCATCAACTATCGTCCGCATAAAGCGTCAATCAATTATGCCCCTCTTGAACTGCCACAGAAGGTAGACTTTTTGCTGAATCAACTAATTGAATCATTGAGGCTCACATCTACCGGGATGAACCAAAAAACATGGCACGGGCAGGAGGAGGAGGAGGAGGAGGAGGAGCATCAGTATCACCATCACCATCATCATCATCAGCAGAAGAAGAACAACAAAATGAAGAACAAGATGAAGTAGGGAACATAGGACGGGGAAGATGGGAAAGGAACTTCAAAGAAGGGTTTGCTATATGGTAATGCCGTGTGCAGCATGCTGATCTGGATGTTCGGCTGATGTTGTGTATGGATCCATTCGGACGTACGGATAACCGGACCAGGAGCGGACATCCAGACAGTCCGGACTGGGACTGATTGCATAGGGATGTCCGCCACCCGGGCCAAAAAATGTTTGGATGCAGAAAAAAGTTAAAAAAACTTCAAAAAAAAGAAAAAGGTCATTCACCTTGCCACATACACACACACACACATAGAGAGAGAACATAGGACGGGGAAGATGGAGGAGTAAGATGGGAAAGAACTTCAAAGAAGGGTTTGCTGTATGGTAATGCCGTGTGCAGCATGCTGATCTGGACAGCTGGCTGACGTTGTGTAAGGATCCATTCGGATGGACGGATAACCGGACCAGAACCGGACATCCAGACAGACCGGACTGGGACTGATTGCATAGGGATGCCCGCCACCTGGGCCAAAAGATGTTTGGATGCAGAAAAAACTTCAAAAAAGAGAAAAAGGTCGTTCACCTTGTCACACACACACACACACACACACACACACACACACACACACACACACACACACACACACACAGAGCGAG